GCTTGGCTTTGTTTTCATTCCATACTCGTAACAGTCAGTTAAACTGGCACTTGATGTCCCTGTTCTCTAGTGACTTAAGCAGCTGAACCTCACTGACCCTGTTAGGCTTGTGTAGAAACAAGATTAAATACTCGTACTTGACCTTCAATAAAAAGATACTTTGATGAGATCTGGAAGTCCGACAGAAGACTGATTTAACAATGGTTAAAACTTGCAATATTTTGATGTGTAATCTTAAGTTAGTCAAACGTCTGCAAGATTGTAAGCACTTCAGGATTTATTAATGTGAGAATACATTTGTCTAGCAGTATATCTATGAATTAATTACAGGACACACATTATTAGATATGTTCAGGTTCAATTTTTTTGAATCCATATTTAAATTATAACATAAAAATTGTGATATTTAAAGAAAAATCTTTTTATTGAAAAATCCAGAGATTGTAAGCACTTCAGATTTATTAATGTGAGAAATACATTTGTCTAGCAGTATATCTATGAATTAATTACAGGACACACATTATTAGATATGTTCAGGTTCAATTTTTTTGAATCCATATTTAAATTATAACATAAAGATTGTGATATTTAAAGAAAAAATCTTTTTATTGAAAAATCCAGAGATTGTAAGCACTTCAGGATTTATTAATGTGAGAAATACATTTGTCTAGCAGTATATCTATGAATTAATTACAGGACACACATTATTAGATATGTTCAGGTTCAATTTTTTTGAATCCATATTTAAATTATAACATAAAGATTGTGATATTTAAAGAAAAAATCTTTTTATTGAAAAATCCAGAAATCTTTACATAATCAATATTTGTTCACTCATTTATGGTCCAGTAAAGACGAGTTTGTCTAGCGTCAATTTGGCTGTTAGGTTTTCATTTGTATATGTTACGATAGATATTATATATAATTTCTCTTAATAATAATCCCTTAGATAGCTTGAGACCTTAAGCCAGTATCTTTACTGTGATAGGAGGTGTGTATTTTCAAAGATAGGGTACTGTGGTGTGTCACAAAGGACACATCACAAACAAAGGACAAATCCCTGTTTACTGTTGATTGGGATGATCTGGAGCAACTGTCCAGGTCCACAGAGTCAGTGAACCATGGGACTGTGCTTGCTGTCTGCCTTTGTCCTACCACACAACCCAGAGGCAAGGTGTATCAAGTTACCCAGTGCTCCAACACAAAGGCTTTCTGACATTGGTTTCTACAGGCCTGGTGATAATTTTAAAGATAAAGATCAGAATGGATTGTTTTCACCTGACCTGCTCCTTAAGTTGTATAATTGAGCTTGATGTTGTCTGTCGTGGTGGGTTTAAAGTGGCCAGGTAGAATCAGGTACAAGCAAGACTGAGCAGGAATGGATTAGCACAAAGGAACCTGTTAGCTTTAAAAGGAAAAAATGTGATTTTTGCCAGACATTAGTCAGCGACTGCCTTATTGTTTGTCCTGTGAATGGCATGCTGAATGCACCTCATCTCTCGTGGGAGACAAGAAAGAAAACCATTCTATTTTCCCCCTCTTGAATTATGGAATAATTACCATGAGTCATAATATGGCTGACTTTACACCAGCAGTGGTGAACAGTATCAGACAGTCTGGTTAGCTGGCGAGACCAGTGTGTGAGAGGAGCTGCTAGCTGTAGGCACCAAGATGCTGGCATAGTTACATAGGATTGCCAGCTGACAAACAGCCCAGCAACTCACTGACAGTTAAACCCTGAGGCGCCTTGTCTGAGTAAGGCTTTTGAGTCATTCTTTATTTAATTCTCCCATTGCAGGTCTCTCACAGTGGGAACATGGCACTGTGTAGTTGGCACAGCCACATGTCCCTGTTCCATTAACCATGGTATCAGGGTTGATACAGCCTCCCAACATGTCCCTGTTCCATTAACCATGGTATCAGGGTTGATACAGCCTCCCAACCTGTCCCTGTTCCATTAACCATGGTATCAGGGTTGATACAGCCTCCCAACCTGTCCCTGTTCCATTAACCATGGTATAAGGGTTGATACAGACTCCCAACATGTCCCTGTTCCATTAACCATGGTATCAGGGTTGATACAGCCTCCCAACATGTCCCTGTTCCATTAACCATGGTATCAGGGTTGATACAGCCTCCCAACATGTCCCTGTTCCATAAACCATGGTATAAGGGTTGATACAGACTCCCAACATGTCCCTGTTCCATTAACCATGGTATCAGGGTTGATACAGCCTCCCAACATGTCCCTGTTCCATTAACCATGGTATAAGGGTTGACACAGCCTCCCAACATGTCCCTGTTCCATTAACCATGGTATCAGGGTTGACACAGCCTCCCAACATGTCCCTGTTCCATTAACTATGGTATAAGGGTTGACACAGCCTCCCAACATGTCCCTGTTCCATTAACCATAGTATAAGGGTTGATACCGCCTCCCAACATGTCCCTGTTCCATAAACCATGGTATAAGGGTTGATACCGCCTCCCAACATGTCCCTGTTCCATAAACCATGGTATAAGGGTTGATACCGCCTCCCGACATGTTCCTGTTCCATTAACCATGGTATAAGGGTTGATACAGACTCCCAACATGTCCCTGTTCCATAAACCATGGTATAAGGGTTGATACCGCCTCCCGACATGTTCCTGTTCCATTAACTATGGTATAAGGGTTGACACAGCCTCCCAACATGTTCCTGTTCCATTAACCATGGTATCAGGGTTGACACAGCCTCCCAACATGTCCCTGTTCCATTAACTATGGTATAAGGGTTGACACAGCCTCCCAACATGTCCCTGTTCCATAAACCATGGTATAAGGGTTGACACAGCCTCCCAACATGTCCCTGTTCCATTAACCATGGTATAAGGGTTGACACAGCCTCCCAACATGTCCCTGTTCCATAAACCATGGTATAAGGGTTGACACAGCCTCCCAACATGTCCCTGTTCCATTAACTATGGTATAAGGGTTGACACAGCCTCCCAACATGTCCCTGTTCCATAAACCATGGTATAAGGGTTGACACAGCCTCCCAACATGTCCCTGTTCCATTAACCATGGTATAAGGGTTGACACAGCCTCCCAACATGTCCCTGTTCCATAAACCATGGTATAAGGGTTGACACAGCCTCCCAACATGTCCCTGTTCCATTAACCATGGTATAAGGGTTGACACAGCCTCCCAACATGTCCCTGTTCCATTAACCATGGTATCAGGTTAGGTATCCACTCAAGTCCCTGTAGTGACTAGATTATAATGGTGTGATCATACAACCTAGTAACTGGATTTTGTTGGTTTACAGTAATTATAAAAAATCGTTCTTTGATTAGAATGGTTTATTCAGACAAATTTATAACTTTGATGGTATTGGTTGTCTGGAGTTGGTCCCAGTTATATCCCAAATGGGCAACTGGCATATATGTATTAATATTGTAAATTTTATTCCAAGAAAAGAAGTCCAAAGTCACAAGGGGCTTGCTCTTTACAAGATGGCCACTAATCTTCATTACACATAAAGAAAAAACTAGAGGCTGAATCAACCTGGAATTCTAGAATTACACAGTATACTGTTGTAGAATTGATAGTGATAATTCATTGTTGGGTAATATTATTGTAAATTGTATAGTACAGCTGGTGTTTTAATACTTTTCCTGTGATACTGTTGTGACATTTAAGTTGTACAATTGTAATTTGAATCAGACTGTTGTGCCTCTAAATTGGTGTTACTTCCAGGCAGACAACAGATGTTTCACTCTGTGCCATGTGTTGCCAGCTTTACATCTATTTGAATACTTGTATTTTAAAATATCTGAAGTTAATATCAAGCATCCTGTAAGTACCAGTGGTTTAAGTTTGATATATTTAAGAGCATACACTTCTTTTAACATAGTCCAGGGTGTGTAGATCCTGGGATTGGGTACATGTGTATTAGGGAAACTTCCTCTACTCCAGAGACAGTGTTATTGTGTAATTTTGACCAGGTCTTTCTGCTGTTCATCATTTTCATGGAAATGATTACCAAGTCTTATTGAGTAATGTTGATGTAAATTGATGAAGTTTTGGTAAATGTGCAAAAATAATGCACACTTTTTACAGAAATTATTGTTTTTGAAATGTGATGTGAACTATACACACAAACAAGGCATAGACATGGAAGTTCATGATCAGACACAGGTCAGTATAGGCTCCCAAAGATGATTTGTGTATGATGCTTTCAGAACAATAAATATGTATAGTCTCTGAATAGTCAATAAAAGCAGTATTTGAAATTTCCTGTATCTACTGATGAAGCCAGATACTCAGTTTGCGGTGATGGTTGATTTCATTACATGCCGCCAGAGTCCGTCGTATATTGGCGTCATCTTCTCCGTCCGTCTGTCCGTCCGTTTTTTTGGTTCTTTGATTTTTGTAAGATTTATGTCATTTTCAACTTGGCATCTGTAGCTTGCTCATAGTGGAGCTTTGTGAATGCAACTCCTCCTAAAATAATCATCAGATTTTCACAAAACTTGCTCAATGTCACTAATACAATAGTTTGATGTGCATGAAGGGGCGATTTTACGGTTCATTGATTTTTGTAAGATTTATGCCATTTTATCTTGATCTTTATATTTTGTGGCGGCGTATATTGTGTCAACGGCACTCTTGTTTTTGGAAATGTCAAAACTATACAAATTCTGGTTTTCTACATAATAACTTGATTCAAATGATGCATCTTGAGGGTTGTAATTATGGAGATTATAAAGTGTTGCAGGGTCATTTTTAACCACGATAGTGACCTCATTATTTCTTCTTTTCTGCAAAAAAGTACCAGCGTATTATACATGAGGGAACACAATAGGCAGATGTTTATAGTAAACATTCAACAAAATTGTATAAAATGTACTGAAGATGTTGTAATGCATCCTGATGTAATGAGATATAGGGGATGAAAAACTAAAATTCCTTTCACTTTTGTGTTTTTCAGGTGCAATTGATACCCAATTAACAAACATGGCTTCACCTACACCCTCCCAGAGTGACACGACAACCACAGCGTCAACCACATCCAACTCCTCGGACAGCGAGATGGGCGAGACAACAGGGCCCAATACTCGATGCTCCATCTGTCATGAAACCTTTACCATCCCTAAGGTGCTAAGCTGCTTTCACACATTCTGTCAGCCCTGTCTGGAGAAACAACAGGAGGTTGCAGACAAGGTCAGCTGCTCAGAGTGTCACCAAGACACTTTCCTTGGTGGTCAGGGACTGACCGGTCTCCTGCCAGACTACGCAGTCAGCAATTTGTTAGAAACAAATGCCCTGGACACAAGTGCCTTACACTGCACAGGCTGCAAGAGCAAGGATCTGAATGCTGTGGCCCGTTGTTTTGACTGTGCTAATTTCCTTTGTGCTAACTGTGTGATGGCTCACCAGTTCATGCATTGTTTCGAGGGCCACCGAGTGGCAAGTCTGAGCGAGTTGCAGGGGAACAAAGAAGACAGCGGGAACAAGACAGAGAAACCTATCTACTGTCCACGACACAAGACAGATGTACTCAAGTTCTATTGTAAGACCTGTTCCCAGCCCATCTGTAAGGAGTGCACTGTGTTTGACCATGGACGTGGTCACGACTGCCAGTTCATCATGGACATCGGCGAGAGGCAGATGGATCATTTAAGAAACCTTGATGAGGACGCAAAGGGCAAAATTAATGAGTTGAGGACATCAGCAAAGGGAATCGAACACATGTCCAGCAGGTTACAAGTCCAATACCACAAGGCGCAGAATGACATAAATGATACTTATAACTTTTATCGTGCGATGATTGAAGAGCGCAAGCAAGAATGTCTGAAGGAGCTTGATCAGGTGTTTAACACCAAACAGGTATCAATCAGTACACTAGCCCAGAAGATCCAGGAGAACATAGATAGGCTCTACCAGGGATGTGAGTTTGTTGACAAAGTCCTCAAATTTGCCAGCATCACTGAGGCATTGCTGTTCAAAAATCTGGTGGAACAGAGATTCCAAAACATGTTTAACTTCAGCCCTGACATGGATAATCAGGCCTACTTTGATATGGAGTTTGTGTCCAACTTCCAGGCTATCACCACCGGTGTTCGTAACACATTCGGGTACATCCGTGAGGGTGAAGACATGGTTGCTCCAGTTCAGAAACAACAGCCAATTGCTCGACCAAATGGCATTGTCACCCAGACTCCAGCTCTCACTAATGGCCACATCTTTGAACCGCCACCGCTGACTAAGAACGAGTTTGGTTCCTCAAACAGTCTGATCTTCCCTCAGTCAGACACAAGTATGTACGAGAAATGGTCTGTTGGTCTGGACATCTTTCAGAATGGTGTTGATGTTTTCTCTACAAGCAGCGACCCTCTCTTTGACTTGACATCCAAGATGAATTTGACAAGTTTGTATCCTCCAAAGTCCCAGATCAAACGCCAGAAGATGATCTATCACTGTAAGTTTGGTGAATTCGGTGTCATGGAGGGTCAGTTCACAGAGCCCAGCGGCGTCTCTGTCAATGCTCAAAATGATATCATTGTAGCAGACACCAACAATCATCGCATTCAGATCTTCGACAAGGAGGGGCGGTTCAAATTCCAATTTGGTGAATGTGGAAAGAGGGATGGGCAACTGCTGTACCCAAACCGAGTTGCTGTGGTCCAATCGTCTGGTGACATCATTGTCACGGAGAGAAGTCCAACCCACCAGATCCAGATCTACAACCAGTATGGGCAGTTTGTCCGGAAATTTGGTGCCAATATCCTGCAGCACCCCAGAGGAGTCACAGTAGATAACAAAGGTCGCATTGTTATTGTTGAATGCAAGGTGATGCGAGTGATCATCTTTGATCAGTATGGAAATGTCTTACACAAATTTGGCTGCTCAAAACACTTGGAATTTCCCAATGGCGTAGTCGTTAACGATAAGGAAGAGATCTTCATCAGCGACAATCGTGCACATTGTGTTAAGGTCTTCAACTACCAGGGAGTGTTCCTGCGACAGATAGGTGGGGAGGGCATCACAAACTACCCAATCGGCGTTGGTATTAACAGTCAAGGTGACATTCTCGTAGCAGACAATCACAACAACTTCAACCTGACCATCTTCACCCAGGAGGGTCAGCTGATCAATGCCCTGGAAAGCAAGGTGAAGCATGCTCAATGCTTTGATGTAGCCCTCATGGATGATGGATCGGTGGTGTTGGCCAGTAAGGACTATCGCCTGTACATCTATCGGTACTCACAGATTCCAGGTATGGGCATGTGACTAGACTGGGATGCCACACCGATGTCTGTTTCAGCATTTAATGAGCACCCACCCACCTAGCACGTAAAGTGGCTGTTGTTTTTGGATCGGCTGGTTGTCAAACCAATGCCAGATCTGTGAAGAATTTGGTTTGTTGGAGCAAGAAATCCTACTGAGGATGGAACAGAAGACTGCCCTGTTTTATGGCTGCCATATATATTGTTTACAATGTTATGACCGAGATGACCGAGTTGTCGGCTTTGGTTGATATACGTGACGTTGATTTCTTATGATTGTATGACTGCTTCAGCAAGCAAGCATTTTTGGATGACTATTATTTGTTATTGCGTGTGCTTGTCAACACGTAAATCTGGAATGTGATTCCACAGAATTTACTCAGCAGTAACGACACTAGTCAGACATTTTCTACCACATGACGGCCTCCGTCGACATGGAACAAAGTCTGGTCTGCCTGTTGTGTTGTTATGACAACAATTGTCATATGGTACCAGATTTTTGGGTCCTAGTTGCTACATCAGCCCAGCTGTCCCGTTGGTGGGGAATTGTTATTTTTTATTATCCTTTATTATGTTGTTTCTGCATGGCCATCATATAAAACATTTCAAATCAGTATTCACATCACCCGACAACACCTTTGAGATTGCTGTGCTGATGTAGCTGCAGAAAATCCCAATGGGAGAGGAAAAACTTAGTTTCTCCTTTTCTTTTTATACTAATTTATTGCAAAAGAAATGTGAAAAATATATTTTTTTTCTGCAAAAGAAAAATGAGAAAACCAAAGGGTTGCCTGATTGTGTCATTGTCAACTGCTAATAATGTGCATTTTGCCTAATCAGACTTTCTGTTTCCTATTTGTCTCCTGGCTGTCTCTCTTTATGGGTTATTCTTTTCTAATTTTCAAAACAAAAGCAAAAAAGAAAAAAAAATGGCTATGTTATCATTTCTTGAGGTTTGTTTCCAGTATTGGAAATTGATAATGAAAATTTGTGAGGTGAGCAGACAGCAATAGACACACAGGCCCCTTCTGCTGTACAGAAACATGTGATAGCCATGTTGTGGCACTGTTCCCTTAGTTACTCTGTTTCTCCAGAATTGACCAGATTATTTAATTATGCTTTGTAAAGGTTTTTCAGTGTTATTTAATTTGTAGTTTAGTATATATATATATATATATATAGTGTTGAAATATTCTCACGTTGTCCTAGATTTCTATATATAGTTGTTTGGTTTGGTTATCATTGTTTTCCCGCCTTGTTTAATATTTGACCCCTGATTTTTGTTGTTGTTGTTGTTTTCCCCTCTTTTATGATATTATAATTGGTTGCTGGTTTCACTGATCTGCCAGTGAAGTGTTGCTGTCATGGCTACCTCAATACTGTATTTAATATATACAAGTAGATCAAAATTTCATAGCAGTCAAAACATGTGGAATAATCATTGAAATGTTTATATATGTCAGAAAATTTGTCATCGGAAAAGAGGAAAATAATGTGAAGGAAATTCACTTTTCTAATGAAAAATGCCAAAAGACAACAATTCAGTGTGAGATTCCTCAGAAATTTTCATACAAAGTTAAATTGTTCATTTTCTCCTTTTTTTTCCCCTCTTTAATTTGGGTGATACTAATAAAGGTTGTTAAATATCAGATGGAACTTTGTGATACTAAGAGTATAAAATGGTAATGTTCTGGTCAATAACGAAAAAAGTACTGACAAAGTTCTGGTCAATAACCAAGTACTGACAAATGGACGTTAGGATTATGTAGAGCTTTGTGGCATAATATTGTGTTTTTTTCCCCTTGTTTTATTTGTGAAAACAACAGTACACTATAGAAGAAAAGTTGATGGACAATTGTTTTTGCAAATTTTATTGTCACATGAAACAGAGAAGTTCCGAATATATTTCATATTCAAGTTTTTAATGTTTTGTTTTTTTCGCGGAGATGTTGTGTTTTCACCAACTGAAGGAGAAGCTTTATCAAACAGCACACAATCTGCTCGAGTATTTCATGTTTTTTTTCTGAGAGATCTATATTGTGATTTCGTATTGTATTTTTATACTACCTGAGATTTTTTGTATGTCTTTACTATCTGGTCACAAGGAGTTTGGTACTCGATGTTGTAGGTGTTGTGTGTGACGTAGCTGTGTAAGTTAGTCCGAGACAAACAGACATGACGGCCAAAATAATACCTCGCCAAGTTTGTCTCCATTGAGCGTCACGCTAGTTGATTGAAATTTTATGCTGGGGAATAACTCTTGGCTGTCATCACTGGGAATGCTCCATTATAGACCAAAATGTTTGTTCTGAGGAACACCAAAACTTTATGAGTTGAGTTTATTAAGTATTTGATAATTTAGATACTAGTTATAAGCATATTCCTATTTCTTCCAATGCATGAAGTTAACACTGGCAAGTTGATGTCTAAGTTTATATTAAATGCCTCTCAAGTCCAAAAATGAATGTTTTTTAAAATCAAAATACATGTGAATAACTAGCATTATAAGTGTGTTATTGTGTTAGCTGTTACCTAGGTGTATTTTGAGTTATTTTATTGTGTATATTCTTGCATATTGATATGTTACTATATCTATGGGGAACTGTCCTCTCTTGCCCAATGTTACTGATATGTTGCTTGTCCAGCTTTATCAGAGGTGTATGGTTCACCACCTGTATCTACAAATAGTCCTCCAACCATGATGAAGATGATCATGGTTATGGGTGAAACTATTTGTTATTTGCTAGGGGGAAATGTCTTATAATGGGAATACAGTTGTAAGCAAGACTATCAGTCATAACTTAAGGAAAACTTAAAAGTAATTACCTCAAATTTTTCTCATATGCATACAGATATTAGATCAAGTGATCATGTGATCATGATATTGATTTTTAACAAGGAACATGATCCGAGTAAGATTTTCTTTCCCATTATAAGTAGTCTTCTCACTAGCTGATAATGTTTTTCGCCATTTAATGTATAAGTGTTCAAAAGTATGAATTATTTTTCTAAGTATGTTGACCGTTACATAGGGGAGAAGTGTTGACCAAACCGTTATCAGATATACCACGGTGTCTTCCTATCTGTATCTGTTTACCCATCCCTACTCGGTGTTGTGGACCAGTCGACTGACATGCTTTAATCGACTGTTCCATTATTAGATGGGGATGGATGGACATGCAATCATAACCGTTCGTTGTTGTTTTAAGCAGTTATGAGAATGCATAAGCATGAATAGGCCTTAATTTGTAAAAAAAAAAATGTGTAAAAAAAATATCAAGAAAAAAATACAAAGAAACTGTTTATGCTTGTTCACTGTCACTTTGATATCCAATGTTGCTACTTTTCTGTTGAAATACCCAGCTACGGGTAGAGAGATCTGGGTTTCCTGTTCTCTTATTGTTTGGCCCCATCTCACTACCCGGCTAAGCGGGCTTGTTACAATTTTTTACCAGTGTAGAAGATGCATTATGAGGTAAAGAAACGATGGTGCTGAAGCCACCTGTAGTTTAATCAGATTCCTGTTCTCATTTTTATATGAAAAAAATCACCAAAATCATGCATGGAAAAGCCCGGTCTTTTATTGAAATGTAATTTGTTCCATCTTCATTTTCACCTTTGTCATGAAGTTCATCCTGAAGTGTTTTTGCCTTATGCATTGTCAAAAATGACCACTAAATATTCTGGTGTGTATGTTGTGTTAAGCTTTTTGTGTATGCTTTAAGTGTTGGGTAGCAGATTTTCTCTCCAATTACCATGGTTAACATAATTTTTTTCTAACAAAAGCACAAAATTTAGTAATAATACAAAGTTTGTTATTTCTCTTGTTAATTTAAAGTGTTACATTGTTAAATATCTAATATTAGTGCTAAACTGTTGTCTCGTCGCCAGTGACCAGAGTTGAAAGTCCACTGAATATAGACATAATGTCTCATTCAGGAGGATAACAATGTTTTTCACAGATTATGAAATTTTTACAACCGACTCTTTGACTGTGTGTCTTGAAAGTGTTGCTACCTTAGATAGTACATTCCCCATAGTTACATGTCCTTGTTGTTGTAGTGATGACATGTTGTCACTATTCATTATCCAGACACATTTTTGTCCATAAGTAGATTTTTTGTATACACAAATGCTCACAATATAATCCCGAGATTTTACAGTCAGTCAAATTCAGCCCCTTTTGTTTATTATAATTTATTTTGCAATTTGTTGATCTTGGAATCACCTCATTTGTTATGTTAAGTTCCCCTAAATATCCTTAGTTATCTGACTTAGATATTCTCCTAAGTGTCTAGAACTCTCCTGTACATAAATTGTAAGATGTCCACCTCTGATCAATACAGCGAGACAGTGTCCAGCTTTTGTTTATATTAAAGGACAACTCTGTATGAGTATGTTTAATATCAGTTGCTAATATTATATACAGAAAGTGCCATTATTTACAGTAATATCTTGGTTTGTTGCACTTTGTTATTGTTTGTGTGTACTTATATGTTAGAAGGATGTTGTCATGGGTCCCTGTATTGTCTGCTCCTGTTGTCAGGACATCAGACGGATGTTGTCATGGGTCCCTGTATTGTCTGCTCCTGTTGTCAGGACATCAGAAGGATGTTGTCATGGGTCCCTGTATTGTCTGCTCCTGTTGTCAGGACATCAGAAGGATGTTGTCATGGGTCCCTGTATTGTCTGCTCCTGTTGTCAGGACATCAGACGGACACTGTTGTCATCCCTGTATCATCAGTCCCTGTTGTCAGGTGATGTGAAAGATGATTTTGTGGGCCCCTGTATCGTCTATCCCTGTTGTCAGGTGATGAGAAAGATGATACTGTGGGCCCCTGTATGGTCAGTCCCTGTTGTCAGGTGATGTGAAAGATGATTTTGTGAGCCCCTGTATTGTCTGTCTCTGTTGTCAGGTGATGAGAAAAATGATACTGTGGCCCCTGTATGGTATGGTCTGTCCCTGTTGTCAGGTGATGTGAAAGATGATACTGTGGGCCCCTG